AAAAACAAGTAGAAGGACTTCAAATGAACAGGTTCAGTGAAGTTGAAGAGCTAGTGTCCTTCGCTGGGTCAATGCATGCTTGAGGTATGAGCTCCGGAACTACCAGACACCATCAGGAAAAATATCAGCTCGCGATCTCAATAAGAGTTTGAGCCCAAGATCCCAAGAAAGGGCTAAGCAGCTGATGTTAGAATATGCAGGATCAGAACGTGGCCAAGCGGATACAGATGTTGAAAGCAACTTTTCTCAACCATCCTCTCCTGGAAGTGAGGATTTCGACAATGCTTCTGTGGATAGCTCCACCAGTAGATATAGTAACCTCAGTAAAAAGCCTAGCTTAATACAAATATTAAAGAAATGGGGAAAAGCAAAGATGACTTGAGTGCTATTTCATCACCTGCAAGATCCTTTGCGGGAGGCTCCCCCAGGGCTAGCATGAGCCAAAGACCAAGGGGCCCTTTGGAAGCTCTGATGCTAAGGAACGCTGGAGACAGTGAAGCCATCACTACATTTGGGACAGCAGAACAGGATTCTCCTAATTCCCCTGAGACACCAAATCTCCCACACATTAGAACACGGGTTTCTTCCAATGATTCTCTAAATACAGTGGCAGCATCGTTCCAATTGATGTCTAAATCAGTTGAAGGAGCACTAGATGAGAAATATCCTGCATATAAAGACCGGCATAAGCTGGCATTAGAGAGAGAGAAGCAAATTAAGGAAAAAGCTGAGCAAGCCAGAGCAGTAAGGTTTGGTGGCAGTTCAAATTCCGCTCCAGAGAGAGGGAAAACAGTAACTTTGCCCCCAAAACTAGCTCAAGTGAAGGAGAGAGTCGTTGTCTCTGGTAATTCAACTGAGCAACCCAATGATGGCCAGATGACTGATTCTCAAATGGTCAGCAAAATGAAGCTTGCCCATGTTGAGAAGAGGCCTCCCAGGGTCCCTAGACCTCCTCCTAAAGCATCGGGAAGTGCACCTGCTGGTACAAACACACATCCTTCTAGCAGGGTACCAGGCACTCCACCTCTGCCACCTCCTCCGCCAGGTGCTCCACCTCCACCACCACTACCTGGTGGACCACCTCGCCCACCTCCTCCTCCAGGAAGCTTATCGAGAATGGCAGGGAGTGGTGATAAAGTTCACCGGGCTCCTGAACTAGTTGAATTCTACCAATCTTTGATGAAGCGTGAAGCGAAGAAAGATACATCATCTTTGGTTTCTTCAACTTCCAACACAGCAGATGTGAGGAGCAACATGATTGGAGAGATAGAGAATAGATCATCATTCCTCTTAGCTGTATGTAAAACTCTATTCTTTTTACCCTAGGCACATTGCATTTGTGGTACTTAATGTGATTCTACAAAAGATGGTTGTTGTATGGCCTGCAATCAGGTGAAAGCTGATGTGGAAACTCAAGGTGATTTTGTCCAGTCATTAGCAACTGAAGTCCGGGCAGCTTCTTTTACCAACATAGAAGATTTGTTGTCATTCGTAAACTGGCTTGATGAGGAACTTTCCTTCTTGGTACGCGTTTTGTACCTATATTGCTTGAAATGTGCTATTTATAAAGTAGATACTTTCATGGTTTTAGGTTGAAGATAAGGTTTTACTTGGGGGATAAACTGTTTAGGGAAACACAATAGTTGTACACCTGCCACAACCTTTACATACTATTGAGGTCTACTCTGCTACAGTTCACTTAGATTAGCTATTTTTTTTGTTCAGCATTGCCAACAAGTGGAAAGAAACATGCATTTATTGAGATCTAGTCGTGTTTTAGCTCAGCTTAATTCAGTACTGCGGGAACATGAAATTAATATAATGAGTGGAAATGACCAGTTTCATTGCTGCATCATATACTTTGTGACCCATCTATGAATTATCCCTTTAATCTTTGTTTGACAAGGTTGATGAGCGAGCAGTCCTCAAGCACTTCGATTGGCCAGAAGGGAAAGCAGATGCATTAAGAGAGGCTGCCTTTGAATATCAGGACTTGATGAAGCTGGAGAAGCAAGTAACCTCTTTCGTTGATGATCCCAATCTCCCATGTGAAGCTGCTTTAAAGAAAATGTACAAGTTGCTTGAAAAGTAAGTCCAATCTCCTTACGTTTGCTTATATCAGTTAATATGGTGCAGTAAAATGAATTATGGATTTGGTAAAGGACTCTATTTCGATACTTACGAAAACATACTTAAAAGGTCAAACCACATTGGGCTTCTGTACTCCTGTTGAGAGTTGATGTATGTATTTCCTATGGCATTGCATGAGTGGTAATGATTAATCTTGTCTGTGAACTTGACCTGTTATTGATAAGTTTTAACTTCCCTTTTTCAGAGTGGAACAGAGTGTGTATGCACTATTGCGTACTCGGGATATGGCAGTTTCACGATATAGAGAATTTGGCATTCCCGTTGATTGGTTGGAAGATTCAGGAGTTGTTGGCAAGGTGTGGCTCATAGCTAGAAGAAAGGAAGTTTGTGATATCTGAATATGTATTGTTGGTTGGTTTATGTATCATGCATTCAGTCAGTAATAAGCAAGCTAATATGATTACAAGGACCTATGGGCCTTTAGTCCAATGGTATTCTTTGTCTTGTGAATACTTTGGCTTTTTGAGGTTAAGGGTTCAAGTCTCCCCCCTCCCAAAAAAAAAAAAAACGATTACAAGGGGACTCTTTTCATATACTCATATTTAAGCCATATTCCTGTCAATATGCCAACAAATTCATCAGCCCTACCTTTTTAGTCTTTTAGAAGAGCATCCACCATAAATGTTCAGGGAAGGCTCATGCATGTTAAGAAAACCTTGTTGGCCATCAGAGACAAAAAGGATCAATTTAGGAGGAGGAATTAGTATAAGCGGTAAGTGCCTTGATGTCTCTATATATCATCTTATCACTCATTCAGCATTTTCACTTGCAGATCAAGCTCTCCTCCGTACAGTTGGCGCGAAAATACATGAAACGTGTCGCATCAGAACTTGATGCGCTAAGTGGGCCTGAGAAGGAACCAAACAGAGAATTTTTGGTCCTCCAAGGCGTGCGTTTTGCTTTCCGAGTTCATCAGGTATGTCCTATCTTTAACTGATTTATGGCATCTCGAACTGGAATATTTGGGGGTCTTAGACAACCAGTTTATCAAATGCTAGTTTCTAGTGTATGTGCATTCGTGGAAGAGACTGAGGAAACAAAAAAAATCTACTAAAATTGTGCTTTGGCGACATCCTTGTCTCTTTAAAGCATTCACTATGAATGAGGATTCTGTGCTCGCACTATCTTTTATAATTGTGAAGAAACCTTGTAATGGTAAAGCAGTTTGCCAAAATATATTTGTACAAACCTTCTAACGGATTGACCAAGTGTCTTAATTTTCACAACTTATTACTTCTTTTCAGTTTGCGGGAGGCTTTGATGCAGAGAGCATGAAGGCTTTTGAAGAACTGAGGAGTCGTATCCATGCACAGACAGGCGAAGGCAATAAGATGGAAGCATGAGATGGTTTTGTACTTCTGTTTTTTGTTTTCCTATCCTGTTTACGCCCAATTCTTAGTCCTATGTGTCGTTATCTTCACCATGTTGAGGTGGAAAACACCATCCATATTGATCTTGTACAATCAACAGTTAAATTCAAGCGATAAAATACATATATAGAGAGTAATTACAAGAGTTGTAATCCATGCCGATTCAAAACGCTTATCACAATGCAACAAGAAATACTATTGGAGTTGAAGAAGTTGGTTGTGTTGCTTATTTTTCTGTTATTCAATGGTTGATTTGCAAATGTTGATAAGAAAGACCATATATGCCTTACGTTATGTCAAGAAAAAAGTGGTCTATAAACATTAGTAAGAGTATTTAGCAAGTGAAATAGTTTTGGTAACAAGTTTGGAGAGTTAATTTTTAATGTTTTCAATGTTCCATCAGCCACAAGTTTTGTTCATATGTCACCAAGTACTGCTTGAAACTGAATCAGCATGAAGTTTGGGAGGCATATGTAGACTGGGTGGTCAGCAAGGCCCATGTCCTAGGTTGGTGGCCTTCATTACTCCTTTGGAGGGGCATCCGCCTAAGGTCTATTCAAGTGGTGGAACATACATCATAATTTGTGGTAGTAAGAGCCTGCATTCGCGCAGCCCTTGTCTAATTAGAAAAAATGAAAATTATGTTGAAGCACCCCGCTTAACATTTTTTTTGGGATAGAAATGGTAGTTATTATTTTATTGATTGGAATTGGTTACATCATGTTGAAGGAGAGGTGTCAAGAACAAAGGACAATCCTTCAAATGTGGGGTTCCATACAATTTTATGCATACTTTCCTAGGCAGTGCGCTATAGCATTACCTTCTCTACGGGTCCATGAAAAGAAAAGCTCAACAGAACTACTTGCAAAGGACTTGACCAACAAACTTGCCTACTTCAGACAAATTTGTCATGCCTCTTTGAAGGGCATCAATAACCAAATTAGTATCGTCGAACCACTTTTTCATACCCAGACTGCTATCTTAATACCACAACTTGCCGCTAATGCCTCCATATGATCAGGTTGAAGCAATCCTAGTATTCTTTGACAATATCCCATTATAAACGAACCATTTCAATCCCTAATCACCATCCCTGACACCTGAGCAGCCAGATTCAATAAAATTTGCCCCATCAAAATTAATTTTCAAGACCCCTCTTATAACATTGGTAGAGTAGATATTGGTAATCATACACTCTAGATATATATTGGCAATTGCCATGTGAAAAATTCCTTAAAAACAAAAGTATACAATGATCAAAGATATTTAACAGCCGAAATTACATGATTTATGGTTCTCTCAGTCTCTCAAAAGAGATTTAAAGCAAGAATGGGATGTTCTTATCGCATTGTGATCACAAGACATCTGTCTATAAACTTGGCACCTCCAACCTTCCCTTGAATTTGAGATGGCAGACAAATGACGCGTCTTTGATCCCCAGCTTCCACCAACAACTCAGATCCTCCCCTGTACTGCAATTTTCAGAATGGGGAATAATAAGCACCATGAAACCTGTTAATTTTATCATAATTATAATGCAAGTATAAGAAGACAATAAAATCAGAGAAAATGATGCAGATAACAATGTCAACAAGTTGAGATCACAGCTACTGAAACATCATTTGTCAATTTAACACTATACATGACTAGTCCTACCCATAATTAGAGTTATTTGCTGTCTGAAGGGTTAAGTCAGTGCTGATATGACTACATCTGCCATTTCCATTTCCTGCGGAAAAATGGAAAACGATAACCCTCTAGAGGTGCTACTTCTGTAAGTTCCATAAGGATGTCCACAAAGTATTTTTAATGGCGTACAACCTCCCTGCCATTCCCGAGGAAAAAAGATATTAAAGGTGAGGGAAAAAGGATAGTTGCGGTGGATCAGCAGAACCTTGTAACTAACAAGAAGACTTATCCTGAATGATCTTACGATGACAAAAACAAAAAATGTCTTTCTTAATTTTTACTTTTCCTCTTTAAGAAGTGTTAAACAATCAGGCCATCTCTCCTGCAGTGAATTCTCATGGAATGAATTCCCGTGTTTTTACTCCTTGTGAAATCGATTCACTACAGAGAAAAGAAGTAAAAGGGAGTAGCCATACTTGATATAGCTTGATTTCCGACTTGTCAAAACCTGGCATGAGAAGGGTCACTGATTTATTTGCTGGATCAAACATAACTGTACATGGGATACTGCTGTTGTCGCCTGTTGAGAAAGTAAGAAGATCTTGAGCACCTTGAAATAAATTGTTCAGTATGATCTCATTCCAGTCTGGAGGGGTATGCATTGAGATATGTGGTATGGAAGCAAAGGGCAATGGTGAAAAATTCTTCTTGACTTCCTCTAATGATTCTGCAAAAGAATTTGATGTGACACAAAATGCTCCAGAAACCTGTGCACCAGCTTGGATTGCACAACCCCAGTAACGTAATGCAGAACTCAAAGAGGTAGGACTGTTTGGGTCCATCACAACGTAACAGCCAAACCTGTGTGGTTCTGCCAAGACAGAAGATCCTCTCTGCAGCATACGTACCCATGCAGAATCTTATTTAAGTGCATAAACATCAGACAAATGAAAAAAGGAGCCGGAATACCTCCAGAGTTTGTTCCAAATAGTCCCATATTTCTGCACTCATTTTCCCATTGAGATGGGACCCCCTACCAGTTAAGCTCATCGCTTCATCTACAAGTCTCAAGAGAGAAGGACCAGCTAATCTCCCTAAATCAGTCCTTTCAGCCAATTTCCGTAGATATTTCAAGTACAACCTGTGTGCCAATGTGTGATTACATACAAATTACCATACGGGGGCAGGGGGGAGGGGGAGGGAGAGGAGAGAGAGATTTCTACCTTGCTTTGCTGTTTGCACCTATCATCCGTATTGTTTCTTCAGTGTTCAGACCATCATATATAACTATGTCAAATTTGTCTTTTTGGTTTTTTCTCTGAGTCACATTCCCAAAGAATCCTACAAGCCTCTCAAGTGCTAAGATGGAAAATATGGAATCCATCCCAGGAAGCACACCAAGCTCTTCTCCCACCACCTACTAATTTATGAAGAGAGAAGCATGAGCATCCTTCACACAAAAGAACATGGAAATCCACATATTCTGGATGATGATGCACCAAACAATAGAAAAAGATTGTTACATACCCACCCCTTCAAGAACCCCCTGGGTCATATTCAGACGAGCATCTGCTTGCTTCAGTCGATTGAGAGGTTCAAGAAGCATCTGCATTTGTTAAGAATAGAACATGTCAAGTTAGAATCCATTCAAATCAAAACCTGAATATGAAAAAAAAGAACAGGGAAGAGGAAGGAAAGAATATACTTGGGTAGTTTCCAACCGAACCACTGACAGGTTGCTGCTGCATGTGATAGGGGACGTTCCAATCCTACAGTTCAGAAGATATTCAGCTGTAGGGTCTTGAGAATGTATCACTAAGCAGGTCTTAAGCCCGGCCATTGCATAATGCTGAGCACCAATTAACATATAGGTTAGGGTATCATGCTTGTAATTTTGTAGCAATAGAAGCAAGTATTAAACAATGATGCAACCTGCGAACACATTAGATAAATCCTTTCTATTTTTATTTTGTTTCTTTTGCTTATTCATGTGTTATGCAAGCACAGTTTGGTATTGTAAACAAAACATATTAGCTGAATCTACGATGCCATTCATTATTAGCATGCCTCCCAGGCTCCTTATGTTTACTACTTACAATATCAACATTCTAGACTCTAAGATGGTTTATTAATGGTGTCACGCCTAATTAGCGCGCGCACACACACACACACATATATATTCAAAATCGGAGAAAGGAAAATTCTCCAAATTGCTACATTATCGTGATCATGGATCTAAATTCTGAATCTCCTGGAAAGTCTCATACAAGACGTTGTAAATTTGCAATTACAAAGGTGCCCTGAAGTATTCCTTGTTTGAAATCACTCTAAAAATGTTTTTTTGTTTGTTTGTGTGTTGTTGCTTTTTTTTTTTTTTTTGGGGGGGGGGAGGATGGGATGTTGAGGGTGTTCTTCCAGATTTTATATTTTACTATGATTACTGCTTAAAATGAATCTCATTATGTAACATTTCAAATAAACTAGGTGGGGTGGCTAGGATTTTGAAGGTACAATTTTCAGCTGATCTTCAAACAATTGATCAAAGAAATGTTCACATTCTAAAGCAATCAGTGTGCTTGGTTCAAAGAATGCCTTGGGGAAATTTATAGCATTACTTCCACACATAATTGGCAAAAACCAAACAATCGAAAAATGTGATCTCTACAGTACTATAGACCTAAAGAAAACACAAGTTCATTAACAACCCAAATAACAACTACTCAGAGCGCATGCACACACACACACACAAATGTGCAATGAAATACAAAATTAAGCTGAAGACAAATAAATATACATAATTAAGAATGAGTAAGTAAATACATGGGCGGCGAAGATGGCTGAGGTGGTCTTTCCAGAACCACCTTTCCCAAGAAACGTCACCAACTTTGTGGGTCTCTGAGAAGTTGAGGGCACATCGATTTGCGGCGACGCTGCCGTTGTCAGAGCTCGAGATCTTCTGGTAGGTCTTTTGGTGGGCCTTACAATTAAAAGTTCAGAAAAATTTGGATTTTTCCAGAGAGAAGACGACAATGGTGGTAGGACTGACGATGTCGAAGAAGCCATTCCTCGTTAGAAGATGGACGCTAGGTCGTGATGAGAAGTCCAGGAGAGAAGAGACTATAATCAGAGATTGTTGATGTGCTTGGGCTAGGTAGGTAGGCATTTCTACTCAAGAGACCCTCTGTAGTTTTCGATATTTCCATGTCCACCCTCTCTGTTATCTGAAATATTGTTACAGTCCCTTATTAGTCTACATATGTGCTTCACTTACACCTCGACCCTAGCCTAAAAACTCTTTTTTTTATTTGAATTTAAAAAATTATTCAAATTTGATTCGTTTAAAAAATAAGTTAAGTCTGAACAAAGTCAAAGCGAGCCGAACTTGAGTATTTAAACATAAACGAGTTGAGTTGAGTCGAACCAAGTCGAGTTTGTTGTTTTTCAAACAAGTCTAAAAAATTATTCAAGTTCGCTTTGTTGTTGAGTCGAACCCGAGCCGAGCTCGAGTAACTCTATTTAATTAATAGTCCTAGCTAATAGGTGTCAAAATAGGATATAATCTGTCACAATATGAAATTAGAGGATTTGAATCATCCATTTCGTAAACGAGCTGAGTATTTTTTGACACAAACTCACTAAAACTTGACATGAACTCGCCTCACCCGACGCAATTAGCAGACTTATTTACACCCCTTTACCGTTTTGATAGACAAAAAGTGAATAATGTCACAAAGATCTTTTTTAAAAATTCTAAAATTACTCTTACACTTGATAAATAGAAAAGGTTCAAGATCTTGTTTAGGAACTCCTTTATTATTTACTCATAAACTATTTATGTACGCTAATAAACTATTGGGCTAATCTCAATTTGTATCTTGAAAGATCACTCAAATCTTAATTTATATTCTTAAAATTTAAAAATATCAATGTATACTTTAAAAGATATAAATTTGTATCAATGTATACTGAGGTTAACTATCATTCATTTTGCCGTTAAAAAAATTTGGTATAATTATAAATGATATGTTGAAAGTTTAAATATTTTATATTTATGATTAAAAAAGAATTTCATCTATTAATACTTCTTAAATACATCTCAATTATGTTTAATCGTGTTATTTTGTGTCATGTCATATCATTTTCGTCGATAAAAAAATATTTTTAATACAAAATATTTTTGTATTGAGTCAATTGTGTTGTATCTTATATTTCATATTTACGACAATTTATATAATATTACTTAATATTTTTTAAAAATTATAAAAATACATATTTTTTTGCCTACAATATTCATTAAATAGTTATTTTCTATCTACAGTTGTGTTATTTATATATAAATTTAATTTGATCAAATAGTCAAAAGGTTCGTGGCTAACTGTAGACATTAAATAGCTATTTAATAAGTATTGTAAGCAAAAAATAGGTATTTTATAATTTTTTAAAATATTTTTTTTATTGACTTGAACATGATACGAAAATATTATGACATGATACAATTGAGAGCTATTTAATGAACATAAATAGAAGAAATTTTTTTTGAATCATAAATATGAATTATTTAAATTTTAAGAGTGCAATTTATAATTAGCTCAAACTTTTTTAATAGCAAAATGGATGGTAGTTATATTAGGTGCACAATGATACGAATTTATGTCTTTTAAGGTATAAATTAATATTTTTAAATTTTAAGAGTATAAATTAAGATTTAAACAATCTTTTAGGATAAAAGTTAAGATTAGCCCTAAACTATTTATGTAAAGACAAATTAACTTGAGGTGTGTATAAACTATTATGTATCTGCGGGGAGGGGTGTGCGTGTGTGTCCCAACGAAAGGTACGAGATTTCCGCGATATATTTTTTTTGATAGATCACCTATCATGTTTTTTTTTTTTTTTTCCATGTTTTGGCTTAATAGACAAGAGTGTTTGAGTCAGTTTATGCGTATTTAGATTAATCTCTTCTCCAGTCCAATTAAAGGCAAAATCATCCACGTTAAAACAAGAATATTTATGAGGAATAAATCTCTTATAGTTTGGTTTTAAAAGGTTGTTAAGATTCGAATTCAGAATGTCTGAGTTTACAACTCGTTTTTATTATCATTTGAGTCACCTTTTGAATTATAGATCGCCCATTCATACATTCAAGTGAGTCATTAACTCATTAACAACGAATGATTCGTCAAAAAAAAATTAAAATGAACGAGTAATGCCAGAGTTATCAAATTTTAGAATCAAATTTAAAGCCCAAATAACATGATAACATATTATTTAGAGTCTTTATTGAGGTTCAAATGATATAGTACCAAAATAAAGAAGCTCATGTTAACTGTGATGTCATTTGAACTCTAAATTTGATCATAACATTTGACGAGTGTAAAATTAGTGCAAATGAATATATATTAAGATCATAAAGAAAAACCAGGTGGGTGATGGCACATCTCTCTAGCAATCAAATGGGCCTTGAGCAGGCTTCCACTCATAAAAGCAACAACACAAGAGAGCTTCGACAGATTTACAATCAACTTTGATGATCCCAAGAGCCACAGCCAGACTCGGCTAACAAACAAATCTGCTGGAGCCTTGTTGGCACCATTGACCTATTTTAAGCCATTTGAGCCTGCGGCTTTATTTTGCAATTTTTTTCGGACCAAGTACTAATACAGGAAGAAAACCATGAAGTTCAAAGTCCAGGTGAGATAAAGTTCAAAGCTTGATCTTAAGTTTCAAAAATAGGGACGATGGTCATTAGATTAACTATTAATTTTTTATTTTATAATTTCACTCATCGGCAAATTGATTGGTGTTGTGACGATGCTCCCTTGAGCATTATTAGCAAACCTTATCAAAGCTTGGAGGTTGATCATACCCCCTTCTCAATAGTTTTTTTAGACTTGCCCAAAAAATAGTCATATAGTTATTAATATAACAGAAAATTTAAAGATTTTCACAAACATATTTCATTCCAACCTCCCAATCTACCTACCTGATCAAACAAGAACATATAGATAAAAAAAAAAGGCATACATTGCATAAGTTTCTCTTATTGTGGAGTTTGGAATGTGTCAATTGTATGCAGCCCCGACTCTTCGCGTATGGGGAAATGTTTTCGGAACTTGAACCTTTGATGAAAAACAGACCCGAACAGACAAACTGTAGTCTTTTCACATACTCTTGTGCAAAATTCTTCCTAATTAGAATCCAAGGTTACAAAGCAGAGGAAGAGAACTAAGAGACTTATAGGAATCACATCAATTGCTGAGAAAAAATTATAAGAGTTTCACAAGCAGTTTTTCATTTATTAACCCATTTTTGTACATAAAAAGTCCAGCTACTTAGCAGTCAGCACCTTCAACAACCGGAAAGGAAAAATTGTGCAAGGGACTAGCCCTCGGTGACCTTGGTGGTAGCTCAGAAATCCGATGACCATAACAATCGTAGTAAATCACACCGGAAAACTCCGGTGGCTGGCACTTCTCACCCATCAGAATTTCCTTCTGCCACAAGCCACCTTCTCCAAATTCTTCCTCACCTTTGTCTCTGATTTCAGCCCCGGACTCTTCGTCACCGCCTTTTTTATGGTTAATGAACGGAATAGCCTTGTTACTGATGGTGGTTATGAGCTGCTTTGGAGACCGTAATGGCGACCTTGGCGCGATTTTCCGATCAGTTGTTGTCTCGGCCACGTACTTTCTTGATGCTTGCTTTGCATGCTTGGCACATAGAGCCACCAGAGCTGACACCGAGACCAACAAACCTATTGCTAGTGGTAGAGAAGTGAAAGGATCACCCGCGTGTATCGGCGCCGGACGGACCATTTTTGTACAGTGGTTTACCGGAGGAGACAAAGGGTTTGATTGTATATGATTGAAGGCTTAGAGGCTGAAAAATATATATATGGTTATATTTATAGGGTTGGCTTATTTTTCTTATATTATAGGTAGCAGTTGGAGGGTGGAAAATTCAACTTTTATTAGTCGTGTTAATTAATATTTTATATTATAAATATGAATTGCAGTGGTGACAATTTGTCATTAGATTAGGTGAATAGACTTTGTCAAATTAAGAGGAAATGACATTAAACTTTGAAAGACATTGAATTCTATAGTTTTTACCCTCCTGGTGTATAGGGTTTGAAAGGGTGAAACTCTTTAAGGTCTTAAGAGAGAGAAAGAGCATGGATCAAAGGGCTATATTGACAACGAGGTCTTCAATGGACAGCTCAAATCATTTTAAATTAACATCAATCGTAATATGATTTCAAATTAACATTGCTACACATTTCGTGCATGTTATTCTAGATGATTCGGTGTAATTTTGACCACACAATTCTTATTTTGTGGTAGATAACCTATCTTTGAAAGTTGAGTCGAACTATAGAAGATGAAGTTCTGATCAACATAATTACATAATGAGAATCAAATGCTTAAAATTCTATTATATCATCAAAGTCTCGTTTGAATCGGTCTCATACAAATTATATAGTTGTTTCTAAGTTATACGATTCTCATTGTGTATTATACACTTCAAGGGGTCCCAACCCAAAGTAGGAAAATATTATTTAGACTCTAAAAATTGATACAATTTGTAGATTCTATCGATCGTTACCATTAAATAGATAATGAATCCCAATAAAATTAACTTTTGAATTATTGCCCCCTCAAAGTAATGACCTTGTCAACTAGACTTAGGTTATTGGCAGGTGGTTGAGTCAACGCCCAGGGTGTGAAGACATGCATGCCAAAGATGAGGCCTATGAAAGGTCATTGTTAGTTGCTTCCTTGTTGGGTAAGGCTACAACGGTACGTGCCGAAATTGAATCACAACCCTTGATTTGGTTTTGAATGAATAATAACCATTGATTGAAAAAACAAAAAAAATACATATATAAAACTTGCAATTTTGGAAATTAAAGGTTACTAGCTAGTTGACTGCCTTGCAATTTGGAAATTGGTTTGTCTCACTGCTTCTATATTGAGCCCTCCTAATCATTGACCAACTTAGCCACCTGCTTCCTTGAACTCGTCCAAAACGCGTTGATCTTCTCATTGGTTTTATGTTTTTTTTTCTGCATAGTCTCCATACTTGCACCGACTATTTCTTAAA